GGGTTATGCTCTGACCATGAAGTTTGAATTGATAGTAAGTCACCATGTTTGCATCGCAGTTTCACTCGCAACATCGGATCATTCTCATCATTACAAATACGATTCAACATTACATTTGACATTTTCAATCAAAATCTAACCACAAAATTGAGAAGAAATACAACCATAAAAAAAACTTCAAATTAACGTTTATACTGGAAATTAAAAGAGAAAAGACAAATTCCTACCTTATTTTCTTGAGGAAGATGAAGAAGTCGTCAAAAAGAGAGCGCTAATATTGTTCTTGCCATGGAAATCAAATTGTTAGGGCTACCAACGGCCATTTTTTGAGTTTAAATTGGGGAAGAAACAAAAATTGATTAAATAATTAATATTAAAGAAAGAAAATGACATGTGGCTGTTTTTAAGTGGTAAATAAAAAGGAAAAATGACCCATCAGGCGCCTAACGTGCGTGTAAACAACCCGGATGAGTTAATGGGTAAAAATGGCCAATTTACAATGATATATAGTTGTTTAGTGGTGTGATATGACACTTCAAAAGTTTAGGTGTCTTTATGCAAATATGGGACAACTTCGATGGTCTCTTTATGTCTTTTCTCATTTTAAAACCACTAAGATCTAAATATACTCTAAGAGCCTGTTTGACTCAGCTTAAAAGCTGGTCAAACTGACTTAAAAGCTGGTTTTTGATTTATTTAGCTGTTTGGCAATACTCAAAATAACTTATTTTAAGTTAAAAAAAACTTATTTTAAGCCAAAAATTAAAAGCTGGGGTAGGGGTGCTTTTTTATTTTTAGCTTATAAACTGTTTTAAGTTGACCACATTTTTATCTTTTTGCCCTTAATATTTTTATACAATCTCCAAATTATCCACATAACCCTAACATCTCTTTCTTCCATTTTTTCCTTTTCACGTTTGGCATAGCAACTTTAGTACTTTTATCCAAACACATAACTGCTTATTTTAAAAATAAGTTTCAACACTTTCAAAAGTACTTTTTTAAAGCTACTTTTATTAAGCCCATCCAAACGGGCCCTAAATGTCCTAAAAGATCTAAGCTTAATGTACCACATATCACTTCAATTTCACATTTATTTTGTAAAAAATACCACAAGGGATGTAAAAGTTCTATTCACTATTAACCAGAGTCTCGAATCAAAATGTAGTTGTTGTGAACACCCTGTTGGGTTATGAATAAGGTGATTAGGGCGTCATGTCAAAGGTTAAAGACTGCTAAATCAGATAAGAAAAATTTATACTAAAAATTAAAATATTATTATATCAAAACTAATATTAAAAAAAAATATTGAAACTGTAGAGAGAATAAATCTCCCATAAACAAAAGTCTCTAAACGACTACATTGTGGATTCTATTGTTATATTGTGTTAGAAGAAACAAAACCTATATTTATAGTCCTAAAAAGCTTTTCCTACTAAAAAAGAACTAGCTAATCCATACCTTTTCCTAAAAGAAAAGAATAAATCAAATATGAAACAATACTACATCTTCCCGAAGAGTAAAAACATTTATGTTGATTTTTTAACTTTTCTTTTAAGAGTAATAAACTTCAAATAAATGGTTCAAGTGTTAGGCCTAGGGAACAACTATGAAGCTGTGTATTTTTTTCATTTCCTTTCTAGAGTCTAACCTTCTCATTCGATTGTTATCTATCTTTTAAACACCAAATGGTTACACGATAAGAAGAAAGTATTTCTGCAGCCAAATACTGGCACACACCCTGTTTCATGGGATTAAAGTGATTTTGCAGCTGCAACATCAATCCCTTCCCCTTTGTCAGCTCAGTGATCACTACTTCCCTCTCCCAACCGTTGTTTTCTCCCATTTTTTCCAACAAAGCTATGACAACAATAAATAAATCTGAATATGAATTTGTGATAGATGAGAAAAAGTAATTTGTGTATAAATTAGTCTTCCTGTCTTGGTAGAGTCAACACAGTGTAGCATTAGTTTGACTTATATGGCTTTTTTTGGACTGATTCGTCTTAATATATAAACATAACATTTAACTTGTATTCAACTGAACTACGTATAACAATGGAAAAAGAATAAAAAATATCACTTAATTTGTTTCATTTACTATATCTTTATTGTTAAAATGAAATTATTCTTACTAGGTTGTTATTAATTTCATCATTTATGCCTTTCAATTGAATGGAAAGCCCAAATCAACCAAAATTACCCATATTATCCCGATTCAACCCAAATCATATGACCCATTTCTTTTATCGGTTTTAACTTGTCTTCAACTAAACTATGATCTACAAATAGACCTTTTTTTTTACGTGTCATTCAATGCGTATTATATCACATTGATATGTGTATTTACTTGAATATGCTTAAAATTGGAGGACATCAATTTATTTAAAGACGTATTTATGAATTATATCAAAATTTTAATTTTTAAATAATTGACTAATTTCTAAATACTAGTAAAAAACATGATTTTAAAATTTCTAATTCGTCCATATCTATTTCTGTCTCAATCGTTTGAAAAGGAAAAAGCCTCCTGTTAAAATTACAGCTCCAGTTTGTATCGATCATAAAAAATGGCGGCTAAGAAGCGAAGCAGCCGAATTAGTTCCAGCTCGAGCTCCAGCTCAAGCCGCCAATCCGAAGCATTCAAGCCGTCATCGCCCGACTCAGTGAAATCTCAGACGAATCGCCATCGTTGGCTCATCACCATCTTCTTCATTGTGTTCTTGATAATTTCGTTACTGATTTACTGTCAAAGATACTACTACTACACTGCTACTACTGTTGTTGTTGATGTTGAGAAGCCGTATGTTTACCAGCGTGGACTTGTAAAAGTCGATTCGACTTACCGTGAAGTAATCGATGTAATGTATTCTATACTCTCCCCAATTTGATTTCTTTAGTTTTGTAATAAAAGAAAATTATGATTTATTTGGTGATTCTTTTAAGAATTGCAGGAGAATTTGAATGTTTCGGAAAATATTAGTCGGAGGCATTTTGGGAATCCTGTTCTGGCTTATATTACTCCGTGGTATTTGCATTTGTTGAATCATGTTTTGTTATTCCCATTTGTATATCTCGATACGCATCTTATCATTTGTTTGTTTTTGACTAGATATGAAGCTTTAGAAAAAATTAAAGAACTCTTAAAAATCTTGTGGTCTTAAATTTAAGATAGATAGAATTTACAAGAATATGTGATTTTAAACATGTCAAGCGAAAAACCGAAATTGAATAGTTGCCACAAAAGGAGAGAGTTACTCTTTGTGAACCGGACTAAAAATGAAAGAAAGACAAAACAAATTGAAATGAAAGTAGTACTAGACTATAATACGTTGTGTTGGTGATCTTCAAAATGTCATGTACTTGAACAGGAAAACTGTTTCAGAGTTGAACTTCAACTCCGCCTTCATAGAGGAGAAGTGTTGTAGTAGGTTAACAGCTAATCTATAAGAAGTTGAATAGGTAATGGAGATTCCTATTGTTGGCCCCAACTATTTTGGGATTGAGGAGTTTTGTAGTAGTTTGTTTTTTAAGCGAGGGGATGTAATGTCCTGACCTGAAAATTAGAACTTTTGAGTATGGGGAACTTTTTACTAGCTTGTTTATGTTCATTTTGGCATGAAATTGTACTGAATAGAAAATTCATAGAACTGCCAATACCCCTTCTCCAACCTAGCTACCTGCTAAAAGAAATTGTTTTGACACTGATAGATGTAGTTTTGGATTCTTCAGTTCATGATGGTATGATAAATGGTGCAGGAATTCAAAAGGCTATGACCTGGCAAAGAAGTTCAGTTCTAAAATTACGCATTTGTCACCTGTTTGGTATGAATTGAAGAAGTAAGTGAACTTGTTATTACCTTAGCTTTCATATAGTAAAAATCTGATCCTTCTCTTGAGAACAGAGACTAGGGTATTAGATTCAGTTTTATTTTGTTTTTTTTCTTTATAACCACCAGGTCATTGCTGCTTTCAAATAAATGAAAACAATGAATCTAGTTTAATAAACTATAGGAATGAATACTGATTTAGCGGGACTGCAATATTAGGAATACACTTCAGTCTCTTATTATCATGAAACTGTTTAATATCTTTACCTCTCGTACTTTCTGATGCCAGTGAAGGAAGTAAATTAGTTCTGCATGGAAGACATAATGCTGATAGAGGATGGATTTCAGACATTCGAATGAAAGGAAATGCTCTGGTACGGTACCGACTACATTGAGCTATAGATTGTTGCAGATACTTAGTTTAATTTATGGCACTTATACAACTGGAGCTTAGAGAAGAGAACTAAAGGTGGAAACACGATTTTATTAGGAGTCAAATTTGGGGTTACATATTCGATTATTTACTTTGAATTCATTCATTGACCACTGTATCTTAATTCTAGCAAGCAAAGGGGCTTGGGGGTTGGTGTGTGTGTGGACTGTGGTGGTGGTGTGTGTGTGGACCGTGGGGAGGTGGTGGTGGTAGTGTGTGTGTGTGTGGGGGGGGGGGGGCGTTGGGCAGAAAAGCAATTGGAGTTCTGTTTGTTTAATACTTGTTCGATCACTTTCTCCAAGTAAGCTTTTTTTTCTTGGAACTGCTCTCCGTTTCCTAACAGGTCCCTTGAATAGAGAGGCCTACAGAGATGGTGCTAGCAACTGAGAATTAACTTATCCTCTAATCTTTACCTCATTTAATTATTCTGTTTCAACATATCATGTAATGTTGGATTACCAGCTACTCTAATGATTTTCTTTCCGCTCTCAATCTACAGATTTTACCTAGAATTGTCCTGGAGGCGATTCCGCTGGACTTGCTGAAGAAGAAGAAGCTTAGAGAGAAAGCAATCAACCTTATCATAATGGAGTGCAAGTGAGTCTCTATTTTAGATGTCTGTTTGAATTTTATTGCAACTTGAAGGAGTTAGACCGGTGTTAATTGCAGCCGCCTGAGTTGTGCACAAAGATTATAAATGGATAATCTTCATTTTTGGTAGGATCAGATATTGAATCACGCACAACATCTGCAAGCATATTTATTTGAATGAGTAGGTAATAGATGAAGATCCATTGTAATTGCTCACCGGATACACATTTGGCAAAACTTACCTCCAAATTCCAAACCAACGATTATCCATTCTATTAGCACGTCTTCTACGTCAGGTACATTTTCTTCATCCACATATTCTGAGATCCTTTTATCTTATGTAGGGAAATGGAGTATGATGGTATTGTACTTGAGTCCTGGTCAAGATGGATGGCTTATGGCATCTTGCATAATTCAGATATGAGAAATCTGGTTAAGTGCTTACCTTCTCTCTCTGGTTTTTGTTCCTTTTAGTAAAACTTGGGAATAATGACATTTTGTGTAGATCCTGAACGATAAAATTCGTTCCGTTCTTATAAGATGGTGTGTGGTTCTAACTTCTGAAAATAAAGGATCCTATCTCACACATCTCATTTTTCGATTTGTACAAGAGCTGAAACATGAAAGCCATTACATGAAATATTTTATTATATGAAAAGTATTTCACAGAGAGATAGCTACTTACAGCGTAAATAGTGCCTTAATTATTAGAACCTTCTTAGTTTATTTTTTTTTAATTTAACCTTAAGGAAAGAACTCTGCATTGGTGAGTGTAATTTGGGTATATGGAAAAGTAATTCACAAGATTTCTGATGAGTTCTACTTCTTTGATGCTTTGCAAGTGTAGGCATTGCAATTTATAAAGCAACTTGGAGAAGCTATGCATTCTGTGAACTTAGAAAGGAATGGCAAGACAAATCTGCAGTTAGTTTATGTGATAGGTCCACCACGTACAGATAAGCTGCAGGAGCACGACTTTGGACCAGAAGATTTACAAGCCCTTTATGATGCTGTAGATGGTTTCTCTCTCATGACTTATGACCATTCAAGTCCTTATAATCCGGGTCCCAATGCACCTCTGAAGTGGATACGCTCCACCTTGCATCTTCTTGTGGGTGCTGGCAGCAAAAGTAGGAGATTGGGTGAAAAAATCTTTGTCGGCATCAACTTCTATGGCAACGATTTTGTCATGTCCGGAGGTATACATGTGTTTATCTTACTGTGCTGTTTGTAACAACATTCCCTCACTTCCTTTTCGGCACCAACTCTGAGTAACAAAAAGAAAATGAAAAACACCAATTTTTTAGCTGATGTCCCTTTGTTCTCTAGGATGAAATTAAAAGGAACTTCTAAAGATATTAGTTAAACAGAGTTCTGACTTTTCCTATCTGTAAAGTTTTGAAGATCATAGAAAATTCAGATATTGTAGATGTAAAGACGGCCAATTGCATGTCAGGTAAAGGACTGCTAAAGTTTTTGTAGTGAATGACTCTGTTTAACTACTCATCTCCCTTGAAATCTTGTGATATATGTTTTCTTGGAAAATATTGCAAATAAAAATTTCAGTTGGCTATGGGGGTAAATGCAAGGATGTAGTTTCACATTATCTTGACCTACGACAGTAACATCGGCTTTAAGGGTAAATTTGAATTATTCAAGTGCAACGAAGTGTTTAGAAGGGTAAATCTGAAACATATTTTAAAGCAATGCAATGAAGTCTTTTCCGGAAAAAAAAAGTGCAATGAAACTGATTTTAAAGTTGATTTTGGTGTTAGTGATTAAAACATCTCTAATATTTGAGTTCTAGACTACCATTTTGGCCACGCTGTTGATGTTAGGCATTGTTGTGCGACATTCTTGTCCATTTGAGGGTAAAAAAATCAAATATCCACCCAAAGTTTTCTGATGAGAGTTAGTAAATACCGGGTGAGATTGACTGAACCAACCATTTGCTATACTTCTACTATCTCACCCAAAAAAAGTGATCAGGCCAGCTGCCTTTGTGTAGTTATACTTGTTTGTAGCTTCTTTTATTTCGCTTTGAAACTTCAGCCCTTTATCTGTTGACGGATGCTATACATATGTTTCTGGAGTGAACTAAGACCCATTGGACTACACTTCAATTGCAGCTCAAATGTCCCTCTTTTTTCATCTTTAAGAGTTTAATGGATCTTTACTTTCTCATATCTGTCAATCATTTGTAAAGGATCAGTACATTTACAGGTTTAGGCGGGGGACCTATCATAGCACACGAGTATCTCTCTTTGCTGGAGCAGCACAAGCCTGTATTTCAGTGGGAGGAGAATAGTGCTGAACATTTCTTCTTGTACTCTGACAATCAGAATGTCCAGCATGCTGTATTTTACCCAACGCTCATGTCACTTGCAATGCGACTTGAGGAAGCTCGTACATGGGGCGCAGGCATATCAATTTGGGAAATTGGTCAAGGTTTGGAGTACTTTTTTGATATTTTTTAGTGTTTTTATCTTCACTTGGTGTCAGTGCCTAGCCTTACATTTCCATTTGTTTGATTAAATAGTCGAAAGGGATTACGTTGCTACAGTTGTCATGGATTAGTTTTTGAATCTAGAATACGGCTCTATGTTACCATTTTCACTTCACTTGCAGTTTTCTTGTATATGAACTGTCTTATTTTCTCTCTTTACACGTACCAGAACTACTGAATTGTGGAACCTTCTTCAGTTTTTTACCAGGAAAAGGCCCAAAAGATATACCCCTATCATTTGTGATGTATTTTATTTATGCTTCTGTTTATTTATAAAAGTATCTTCACCTTAATATATCGTCTCAAATATGCCCCTTCAACTTGCAGTTTTCCATTGCAGTGGTATATTTGAACTTTTTCGATTGTTTATGTATATGCTTTCATTATTACAGAGGGTTATATATAAATGAATCTGATAGCTTAGGGGTAAACTTGAATTTCTTGTTTCTGTGCCTCTCCATAATACTAAATGTCAGAGCCAAGCGGATAACTGTTGAGGGAAAGCTAAATATGAGACAAAGCTGAGAAGAGCTAAATATGAGACGAAATTAATGGTGGACGGGCTTTGGTGGACCGGAAGCAAGGAAAAATCTGAACATGTTCCCTTTAGGACCTGCACCTTTTATTTCCAAAACTTGGAATATATTTCCTGGTCATTTATGCCATAAAAGAGAAGAAAAAGAAAGCTGTTGGAATGTATTTTTTACGGAACCACAATGCATCTTCGTTCATATCACACGAATCGGACATTGCATTGGAAATTTGGGCAGTCATTTGTACCAACAGTTATATTGATTTCAGTCTATCTAACTTTCGGTCAGGCTTAATTTGTCGAGCAATGTTTTCATTCTGCCTATTACTGAATTCAGAAAGGCAGTTCTGGGGTACGCCTTGGTGTAAAAAGAAAAAAAAAGAAGATATTTCTCCTGTTTCATTTTACGTGATGATATTTAACTGGATATAAATTTGTGAAAATATGAATGAAAACATTTAAGTAATAGTAGTTAAAAAGTTTAATATAGTAGGTTTAATATCTCTTAGAATGCAAATTATGACGACTAAGAAGGGAGATAAGGGTCTATTTTGGTGAAAAGATAAAACTGTCCCTGCACAAGCCTTGATAGTCAACTAATGCAACATATGTTGACTCTACCAATTACTACATACATTTGTTAAGGACAGGGAGACTGGTGAACAAGTCTTCAAACTAATTTATATACAACTAACAAATTACTTTTTCTCATCAATCTCAAATTCATATTCAGATCTGTTTATTGCTGGCTATAGCTTTATTCGAGCATAGTCAGCCAGTTTCTTGACTTTGCATAACTGCAAAAAAATGGGAGAAAACAGCTTTTGGGAGAGAGAAGTAGTGATTACTGAGCTAACCAAGGGGAAGGAATTGATGTTACAACTGCAAAAACACTTTGATCCCATGAAACAGGACGTGTGCCGGTATTTGGCTGCGGAAATACTTTCTTCCTATGATAAAGCTATGTCCCTCTTAAATGGCACAGCTTTGTCAGGAATGATGAGCAAAAGTAAAGAGATCATTAATCCAGCACCATCTTCATCAACTGCGCCCCAGCTGGAATTTCCTCAACTTCTGGCTGATAGTAGCACTAAGAGTTGTGACCTCCCCTCTAAATTAAGGAAGAGGTACTCGATCTTACCTCCTCTCTTTTCTTTTGTAACTATCTTGTTTCCGAATCTTACTTATTGTCTAATCTGGATTCACACCGTAGAAAGCCCACCATGGCTTGTTAGTGCTATTTACTAAATAGGACTACATTTTGATCAGGGCTCAATCCTGAGACTCTGGTTTAGTAGTGAACAAAACTTTTTACCATTCTACTTCATCCCTTGTGGTACTTGTACAAAAATTTAATGTGAATTGAAGTGATATGTGCTTAAGCTTAGATCTTTAGAACGTTCAGAGTGTCATGAATCGCTTTAAATCTTAGTGGTTTGAGAATTTTGATCTACTGGTCCTCAGAAGTGGTACCTAGCCTTACTACAACAACCTACCTAATGTAATTTCACAGGTGTATGGAGAGGGTATAGAATGGTAGAGTCGTAGAGAGGGTATTTCCAATAGACAGTCAGAACCAAGAATCTCAACTTACTATGGTCAAGTAACTAAATAAAGTAGGATTATATGTAAATGAGCCTTGGTCAAGTGATAAATTTTATGTAAATAATCATGGGCTTATCAAGTTGATGCTAGAACTTGGTGCCAATAATTATTTTTTCCTCTAAAAATGCTACATGACAGCAATTATATTCGTATATATATGTTCTCCAAAGACAGTCACCAAATTTTATGTAAACAAACTCGCCTACACTAACTGTAATTTACTCAGATGATCATGGCATGAAGCTGTATAAGTTTATGAAACTCAAATTATAGTATTCTTACATGTGTTGAAGGTCCTTGTTAGAAACTTCAACATACACTTTTAATCGTTATAGGAAGACGCTGGCACCAAGGACAGAGTATGTAGAAGCTCGACCCGGAGAAGAGGTTTCACCTAAAGATGGACTTAATTGGAGGAAATATGGACAGAAACTTATCTTAGGTGCAAAATATCCCAGGTGAGTTAGTCTAAAGTTCCTTGACCAAAAATCTGAGTATCTGTTTCATGAATGAATTGACCCAAAGGTTGTATGATACTACAATATCCAGGTATTCTGTGGTTAACTGATAGCAATTATTTTCTTTTGGAAATGCAGAGAATATTTTCAATGTGTTTATTGTCATTGTGACGCTACTAAGATGGTCCAGCAAATCGAGAAAGAACCATTAAGTTTTGAAGCTACCTATGGAGGAAGTCACAGTTGTGGTCAAGAAAACAAAAACCAAAATGAAGAAGTACTAGTTACTGTGGAAACACAAGTTGGAAGAGCAGCAGGGCAACTATCTGAATGCTACATTCCTGAGATGGTTTTAACCCAAAATAATTCATATAAAACGAAATATCCATCTGATAGTACATACGATACGATCCTACAGTTATTCTCATAACAATCGAGTTATATTCATTTATAATCAAGTCAATTCTATTTTCTCAAAGACTAAGTGACCAAATCTCCATTTACTGAAATTGGAGTTCCTAAATTAGTGGGATTAATTCATATAGATGTTTGTATTTCAAGCTAAAGGTAGATATTCTTAATTGGGAAAAGAACACTTAGTATCCCAAAGTGAGAAACTTTTTACAAGTGGCTACCCTTTTACTTTTATACCCCTGTTTTCAACTACTAATTTGCGTTATACTGTTTTGATACCATCAAAGTATATGTGGTATCAAAAATGAAGAAGCAATACTTCAGTAAAAACACTGTCAAGTTACTGTTAAAAGTGTATATTTATACATTCTGACAACTCAATTACTAGGTTCAATATCTCCCAGATGCAAATTATGATGACTAATAAGGGATATAAGGGTCTATTTTGGTGAAAAGACAAAATAGTCCCTACAGGCCTTGATAGTCAACTAATGCAACATGTGTTTGACTCTATCAATTACTACATACATTTGTTATGGACAGGGAGACTTGTAAACAAGTCTTCAAACTGCTCATTTATATACAACTATCAAATTACTTTTTCTCAAAATTCATATTCAGATCTGTTTATTGTTGGCTATTAGCTTTGTTTGAACATAGTCAGTCAGTTTCGTGACTTTGTATAGCTGCGAAAAAAATGGGAGAAAACAGTTGTTGGGAGAGGGAAGTAGTGATTACTGAGCTAACAAAGGGGAAAGAATTGATGTTGCAGCTGCAAAAGCACTTTGATCCCATGAAACAGGGTGTGTGCCAGTATTTGGCTGCAGAAATACTTTCTTCCTATGATAAAGCTATGTCCCTCTTGAATGGCACAGCTTTATCTGGTATGATGATGAGTAAAGGTAAAGAGATTATTCATTCAACACCGTCTTCATCAACTGCGCCACAGCTGGAATCTCCTCATCTTCTGGCTGATAGTAGCACTAAGAGTTGTCACCGCCCCTCTAACTACAGGAAGAGGTAGTCGATCTCATTCCCGTCTCTATTTTGTTTTGTTTTGTTTAATCATCTGGTGTTTTGAACTTAATTATTGTCTAATAGAAACTCACATAGATACCTAATAGAACTACTTGTTCAGGACTCAATCTCGAGACTCTGGTAATAGTGATAGAACTTTACCTATTCTACTACATCCCTTTATGCTATTTTCATCCCTCACTTATAACTGAATTGGAGTAGAGAATTTATGTGAATTGAAGTGATGTGTGCTACATTAAACTTAGATCTTTAGAACATTAAAAGAGTGTTGTGAATCGCTTTAAATCTTAGTGGTAGATTGAACGCTTTGAAAAATCTAGATTTCCTGGTCCTGAGAAGTGGTACCTAGCTAGCCTCTCTCTACTTACTACAATAACATATCCGGAGGGTAAGATGTAGCAGACATAACCCCTACCTCTATGAGGTTGAGATGTTGTTTCTGATAGACCCTCGACACCATGACTCTCTTAACTTACTATGGTTTATATATGAATGAACCTTGGTCAAGTGATAAAATGATCTGAAACTTATTAATTTGACGCTAGTACTTGGTGCCAATAAGTATTTTTCCTCTCATAATGTTAAATGATAGCAATTATATTCGTATATGTATGTTCTTCAAAGACAAAGTTACTAAATTATATGTGAACAATTTCGCCTAGACTAACTGCAATTTACTCAGATGATCAGGGTCAAATTGTAGTATTCTTACATGTCTTAAAGGTCCTTGTTAACTTCAACGTTACACGATTAATCATTATAGGAAGATGCTGGAACGAAGGAAAGAGTATGTAGAAGCTCGACCCGGAGAAGAGGTTCCACCTGAAGATGGACTTAGTTGGAGAAAATATGGACAGAAAGTTATCTCAGGTTCAAAATATCCCAGGTGAGTACTGTTCTTAAGTTCCTTGACCAAAAATGTCAGTATCTATTTCGTGAACGAATTGATCAAGAGGTTGGATGATACTACACTATCTGTGAGTTGACATATGGTCATTGAATTTTGGAAATGCAGAGAATATTATCGATGTGCTCGTCGTTGTTGTGGGGCTACTAAGATGGTCCAACGTATCGAGACAGGACCATTAACTTTTGAAATTACCTATGGAGGAAGTCACAGTTGTGGTCAAGAAACCAAAAATCAAGATGAAGAACTACTTGCTGTGCAGCAGACAAAATGTGATGAAGTTGAAAGAGGAGCTGGGGAAATATTTGAATCCTATATTCATAAGATGGTTTCAACCCCAAATAATTCATATAACAATTCCTCAACGGGGGTTGTGTTCTCAAACTCCAATTCTTTGTTCAACATCCCCACACCGACTTCTTCACCTCATCCAGACACAGACTTTCTACTTGACGATAATAATCTCGCTCTCTTGTTTGATCATGATGTGCCTGAAAATTCTGGCAATGATTCTCTGGCTGCTCTGGCTGGTGAGGTCTATAAACTCTATGAGGAGAATAACAAACTCAATTTTCCTCATCGTTACGACAAACAGGCTGAGGCTGAGAATTCCAGACCCTTGAACAATGTTGGGGACCGATCATAACGTAAGCCTACGAGTATTTCTCTTTGCTGGAACAGCACAAGCATGCAATTAATATAAAGGGAGAAGAAGAGGGCTCAAAATTTCTTCTTGTGTTCTACCTATAGCTCACGTGATAGATTTAAGACCACAAGTTTCTGTATGCAACTCGCCTGCATGAAGCCGGAATTGCTAGTAATCGCCGGTCAGCCATACGGCGGTGAATTCGTTCCCGGGCCTTGTACACACCGCCCGTCACACTATGATTTAAGACCACAAGTTTCTGTATGACTTGGGCTAGGATGTTTGTTATGTATTGTTTGATAATTTATATGTTGTGTTGTATTTGTCAAGAATGATACAAGTCCCATATTGGTGGTTAATGAGATGGCTGGACTCAGACTTGAGCAATTCTTCTCTCTTTGAGCTAACTAAGAGAGCTAACTTTTGGGGTGTGAGTTAAATCCAATACCTAATTTCACAGTATTGATATAGTAAAAAAGACACGCGTCTTGATTTAACTCGTTAAGTTCGATTATTAGCAAGCCAAATATGTTTGTTAAATAAGTAAATGAAAACAAGCCGTTGAAATAAAGCTATCCAGTGACGTTTAGTGAAGGCATAATACATAAATACACCCTTTAACTTAACATCATTTTACATTTATGCCCTCCAACTTTTAGTGTGCACAAATAGGCACTCAAACTTGTATAAAATTGAATAAATAGACACACGAATCCTACATGTCACTATACACGTAGGACACAAATTTTCATGTAGGATGCCATATAGGTCGTTTAAGTGACTACTTGTGCACCCCAAAGTTGGAGGACATAAATATGAAATGAGACCAAGTTAAAGGACATATTTATGCATTATGCCTTTACTAAAGGCATAATACATGAATGTGCCCTTTAACTTGGCTTCAAATCACATCTATACTCTTCAACTTTGGATGTACCCAAATAGACACATAAACTTGTATAAAGTTGATCAAATAGATACACATGTCCTACATGTCATCCAACATATCATTTTGGCATAATACATAAATATGCCCTTTAACTTGGCTTCGAATTATATTTATGCCCTTCAACTTTGGATGTGCACAAATAGACACTTAAACTTGTATATAGTTGAACAAATAAACACACATGTCCTACATGTCACCCTTCATGTCATTTTTTGTCCTACGTGGTGTCCTATGTAGGACTCATGTGTTTATTTATTTAAAAGCTGGATAGTTAAAGTGCTTGTTTGTGCATTATGCAAGTTGGAGGTCAAAGTCAAGTTTAGGGTCCAATATATGTATTATGCCTATCATTTTTTTGCCGTACGTGTATTGTGCCATGTAGGACTCCAGTGTTTATTTATTTAAAAGTTGGATAGTTAATGTGTCTATTTGTGCATTATGAAAGTTGAAGATCAAAGTTAAAATTTGAAACCAAGTATAAGGTTCAATACATGTACTATGCCTTTAGTAAATATAGTTAGCCTAGAGTACAAGTATATCAGTGTAAAATTTTTTGCACAACCTTGCCCCTAAGCTAACATTGCTCTGAAATGTGTCAAAGATCTAGTCTTTTAGCGTCTTACAATTAGGTTTGAGGAAGGTAAAAGGTACGTACGCAATCTTATCTCTACATTTATAGAATAGATAGGATACTCCGGACTGTCTCTCGTTAACTCTCCTCTATGATCCGAGTGAGCTCATACAGGTTGTCCAAGGATAAATCTAAAATTCCGACAAGCTCACACAGGCCGTCCAAATTCATGTTTATTTTGCTCTTTCCAAGTTGTTTCATTTCCTTATTATGTAAAAAAAAAAAGAAGTTCTTCTCATAAAGAAAGTTAGAGTTAATTCTAAAAATGCACAAAGACCTTGATAGTCAACTAATGTAACATGCATTGACTTTACCAATTACTACATTTGTTAAAGGCCACAAAGGGAGATTAGTGAACACGTTTTCACACTTAATTTCCCACTAACAAATTACTTTTTCTCATCAAGCTCTTATTCATATTCATATCTTCAAAACAAGTTTTTAATTAGTTGCCGTGTAGCTCCACTCGAGTGTAGTCAACCAGTGTTGTGACTTTGGTTAGCTTTCAAATTTTGAGAAAAATATGAGGGGGAAACAATTATTGGGAGGGAGAGATAGTGATTACTGAGCTAAACAAAGGGGGAAGGAATTGATGTTGCAACTACAAAAACACTTTGAACCCATGAAACAAAAATGTGTGCCAATATTTGGCTGCGGAAATACACATCGTCCTACTTGGTAATTTGTGTCTTACATAATGTTCTACGTGTTAAGTTTTATATTATCTCCGTCTCATTTTATATGTTATCTTTCGAATTTCAAGAGTCAAACAAGTTTATTTTTGAGCGTAAATTTTTCACTGGTCTTTTAAACATTTTGAATTATCAATTATTGTGACTCGTAGTACTAATTACTTAGTTTACAAATATATAAATTTCATTTCAAAAGTTTTT